AAAAAAAAAATATGCTCTCTTTTAGGACATCCCAGCAGAGTGTCCGAAACACAAGGAGCGTCAACCTACGAATGTACCAGAAAGCGATAGGCTAAAACATGCTCGCAGAGCTATGGCTGCAGCTGGTAAAGAAAAGTCTTGTTCGAAGAGATTCATTTGTCTATCTCATTTCATTTACATCATCAGGTGGAGGACAAGGAGAGTGTCCAGAGGGAGCGCCGAAGAAGCAAGTGGATGGTGAAGGATGTGGTGGCTGTCCAGTTGCTGAAGGTTCCGTGAACCCAATGAACAATGTGAGTCATCTATCACTAATGATGTAGTTACCCGACTTCGTGGTTTATAACTACATTTCCGTAGGAACTGGAACATCCAAACCAAAAGCCGGCGCCTGACCAACCTTTTCCTCTTCCTCTGGAACGGGAAAAATCTACAATTCCCAGGGTGAATAACTATACTGTATACTTGGTTGCTGCTCTGTTTGATAACGAATGTTGTAGGCAGGTACCAACGAGACGTGGACATACCCTAGCCCTCAAATGTTCTGGAATGCAATGTTGAAGTGAGTTTTATCCTTAACTTTTTTCAACTTGTCGTTACATTTGTTATTCTTCCAACTTTTTTCTTCAATATCTTCTTCAAACTGAATGTCTTTGCATTGAAGATAATCTCTATACTACAACAAGCAAAACTGGGATATCAAATGTTTGATATCTATTGTTTTCTTTTCCATTCAATTTGCCCGTCCCTACATATTCCACTTAGTTTCGAATATCATTTGTTTAGGAAAGGTTGGCGATGGCAAGAAGATCAACTCTCAGAAAAAGATATGGAAAACATAATTCGCATTCATAATGCAAACAACGAGGAGGCTTGGCATGAAGTCTTAAAGTGGGAGAACCTGCTGCATCCGTAAGTCTAGTCTAGCGTTTACTTTCCAATTTCTCTTGATATTAACATTTTAGTGAGTGTGCAGAACCAAAACTGAAAAGTTTTAAAGGAGATGCTAAGAAAATAACCCCTCGAGCTCGATTTCGTAATATCTTTCTGGGATACGAACTTCCATTTGATCGGCATGACTGGATTGTTGACAGATGTGGAATCAAAGAGGTAAATCACTTAAAGGCAGTGTCCGCGCACAAATGAGGATTTTAAATTCTCATCAGATAATGGTGGCCGACTTTCTGACTAGTATTTCCCCAGTTCAGACGAATATGTTTTGGTAAGAAAGAAATTCGTTCCGAACGTTGAGCTCAGCCTGCCCAAGCGATTTTCCTGTTAGTTCCGCCTACGTTTGGCTTCTCACAGAATAGTTCTCTCTTGCTTCGGGACCGATAGTCAAAAATTTGAAGTCCCGCCGCTGCCACTCTCAGAACTGAAAAAACCGAAATTTCTTTTTTTTTTCTCCGAAAGTTCCGCGGTAGTTGAGTTGATATATGTGCTGAG